TACGTCCTTCGCAATTCGGCTCAGCTGCAAGAAAGCATGATTAGTACCTGGTACATGCAAGTAAGAATGATTAGATCCTAATTCCCTTGCTAGTACACACCCAATTACTCACTTGCTTACTTAACAGGTTAATAAATATTAGGATTATTGAAGGTTTTTGTAGATGAAATTTTGACTGTACATTTTATACATTTATTAGACCTAACCAGGAGCAGTTGCAAAAGAATGCAACTGTAGGCCCTCTGGTAGGAATCAGACCTTGTGAATGCGATTCCAGTGCAGCGCTCTGAGCTGTGCATTTGTAGATGGAAATTTTGAATATGTTTATCCAGGAGCAGTTGCATAAAATTCAACTATAGGCCCTCTGGCAGGAATGAAACCTGTGGCCCATAACCTTGTAGCTAGGGCTCGACAACTAGAATCTTTAGCTCACATGGCTTGCCTGATGCTCGAAATTTCATCTATAAAAAACCTTCAACACTTCTATCGAGTGAGTTCAACAACAGTTCTATCGAGTGACATTCCACAACTCCTGATAACAATATTCGTTTCATGTTTCAAATTCTGTTTTAATATTTATTAGCCATCAACACAAATGAGAAAGACGTTTTGGTTCCAGACCATAGAATTCAAGTTGATGTTGTGTGGAATGAAAGATCATGTCAACCAATAATGAACTATCAAATACTCAGCGTATGTTACTGCATGCCATTATGTTTTCGAGTCTTCTATCCACTCTTTGTGATGGAATTTTTAGTTATGACTTATGTGGACCATGTCAATCAGAGTTGTTTTGTTGGCAGAGGTTAAAAATTGTTATCTTAATTTGTATAGATGTTTGCATGATTGTAGTCCTAGCTTATATATTGTAAATATTTAATCATTTTATCTATTATTAAATTTGTGAATTGTACACTGAGATATGTTGCTTCTTTTATTTATTTTTTTCCAATTAGATCTGTGATCTGAGACCAAGCTGAACAAAGGTGCGATTTTGCACACCTTCCAAGGTGTGTATTTGCAAGCTGTGTAGCAATAAAAAAAGGTGTGTTATTTTGCACACCTTGCAAGGTGTGTAAAAAAGCACGACTTAAGATGTGTAATTTGTTCGCCAGAGATTCAGGGCAAAATACTCACCATATGGTGTGTAAAAATACACACTTTTTTGAAAAACACGCCTTAAGGTGTGTGAATTTGGCGGCAAGCAAAATGTTTGCGTGTTTTTTTACACACCTTAAGGTGTGTTTTTTTACACACCTTTACCTTGCAAATACACACCTTAAGGTGTGTAAAAATACACACCTTTTCCGCTAAATACACACCTTAAGCTGTGTAAAAAAACACGCCTTAAGGTGTGCGAATTTGGCGATAGAAGGTGTGTTGAAAATACACACCTTATTTTTTAGAGTGTAATAGTTAATTTAAGTTCATATAACAATACATATCCTATGTTACAATATGAAAGAAGTTACGACAATAAAACATTCGGTTAAGAAAGGTGTCCATGAATTTCCTTGTGTTTATCTTTGGACTTTTACTTTCTCAAGTTATATTTAATCGGATTATTTTGCTTTCAGCAGATCCGATGGAATGGATGATTGATTAACGCCCATGCTTTTTTTATAAACCTGACGTTCAAAGAATTCGTGCACATGAGCACATGCATATTTTGACACCGATCCAAGAACCATTGAATAGTATGCAATTCGGCTCCATATAGACAGATAAGCCATATATAATGTTAGGCAATTACAATGCTGTTAAAGCGATACACAGCAAAAAATTAAATATAAGTTACGAAATTCTTTCTAATTTCAAAACAAAAATGTCTTGCAAATAAAATATTTTTAATTTTGGGAATTTTTTTCTTATTCAGAAAATTATTTTCTCATTTAATTTTTTTTAATAAAAAAATAAATTTTTGCCGTAGCTATATATAGGCTTAAGAGCATTGTATTGCCTAACGTTGTTTATGTCTTACCTGGTTCAATCTCCGCTTGGTTTATCAGTTCCTTCTCTGTTTCAAAATACATATGTGAGACATTTGTTCGCCTTGGCCAGCTGGTTATTTTCTCAATGCAATTTAAACCTGTAATCCTGTTGACCATGGGCGTGCGCGCTTAATCTTGTTCGGGGGGAACAGTATTAGTTTGCCCGACCGCTTTGCTTACACAGTAGTACTGTGTGACAGTACACATACATAACTTTGTTCGAGATTTTATCAGGGTCTTTTTTAGGGATTTTTCCGGGGGGGGGGATTTTTTGAAAAGGGTCCTTTCTATGAGATAATATATTAGTGGGGGATAGCTATGTGGCCCACATACTACGCATGAATCTCTTGGGGGGTCTGGGGGCATACTCCCCGAGAAAATGTTTGAAATTTGAAGCTCGAAAATGCAATTTCCTGCATTCTGAGCATCAAAATTTGCTCTTAAATTTATGCTAACTATACTTGTATTCAAATAAAACAAGGAAAAAACGCACAAATTATAAACAATAACTATTTTTAACAATAATTTATTAACAAATATTATTAACAATAATTTATCATTACATTATATATATATATATATATATATATATATATATATATATATATATATATATATATATATATATATATATATATATTACAAAATTATACAGTGTTCTCCGGATTGTAATTATTTGTTTTGAGCTTTCGACTCGGTACTTCGAGTCTTCATCAGAAGGATTGATTGTTGAAGTCTGTGGGAACGTCTGATTGGTTGATGGATTTCAGTACGTTTGTTGCTATTGGTTACTTTGGAATGCGGATGATTATTGTTATCATGAGACGGTGTAGGGAAGGAAGTTGAGGATGTGTTAAAGGTTAATGAAGATGAATTAGGAGATTTGTGCGAGCGTCTCAGTTGTAAGTAAATTGTAGGGATGTCAATGTTGCGGTTAAATGTTTGTTTGTCTAAACTATGTCACGCTTCTTTAAACTCACGGGCATGTTTGGTCGTTGCTTGTCCTAGGCATCTCGTTTGAGACCAGTCGAATTTATGTCCGTTGTCGTCTGTGTATTTAGCTGGAAGTGAGCTATGGTCGTGTCTGTTGATTGCGTTCTGGTGTTCTGTTAGTCCTGTCTGAATCTTTTTAGATGTTTGTCCAATGTACAATATCCGGAAAGGTTTAGCAAGGGAAGATAAAAATAGCGTTATGTTTTTCCGTTATATGTGTCTTGTCTTTGTGTTTAGTGAAGTTGGACCTAAGTCTACTCTGCATGTTGGTTTGTGTGCAACGTCAATGTTGAATGGTCGGAGGAGTCTAGCTGCATGCATGTCATTTCTGATGTAGGCCTAGTGTGTATGTAAGGAAGTGTAATTCTCGTTTTTGTTTGGTTAAGTCGATCCGTGTTAGTTTGTTGTTTATGTAGTAGTACTTTATTAATGAAGTCTAAAGGGCAGTCATTTTTGTAGAAAGTAGATTATAAATATTGCCAATTCTGTTGAATAGAGTGTTTATACAATTGACTTTGTGTTGTGTTGTGTTGGGTGATCGCTATTGTAATTTAAAATTTGATCTGTGTGTGTTTTCTTGCGATAAACTATATATATATATATATATATATATATATATATATATATATATATATATATATATATATATATATATATATATATATATATATATATATATATATATATATATATATATATATATATATATTAAGATGAAAATGTTCTAGAGTGTGTATTATATAATTTCCATACCCAGCGCAAGCAGAAAGATGTTCTCTGCCGCGTATATATATATATATATATATATATATATATATATATATATATATATATATATATATATATATATATATATATATTATATGTCGGTTGGTTTATTTTAAACCAAAAAAGGGACTTCTTCAGGCAAATTGTGAGATTATTTATTAAATTCCTCAGACGTTTCGCCGGTTAAGGCTTCATCAGTGAGTACAATAATCTGAATAATAAAATCGTCCTCTATATATACATGCATTTATCGCTTGATTGAGTTTGTATAGCTAAAGAATGGTGAATTGAAAGGTAGACCAATTCATGCAGCCACCGACACGCCGGCCACCTCACTCTCTAAAAACTTAACTAAATCTCTTAACCCTCTACTCAAACATATACCGGCACATTTGAAGAACACTGAGGATTTCATTGAGTTTTTATTGGAAATTGACGGTGACATTCAGGGCTTTTGCAGTCTCGACGTATGTAATCTATATGGGTCGATACCCCTCGAAGACATTAACAACATTACTCCCGGTGTTTTCACCGTGGTGAAACGTTTTTTCTTAAAATATAAAACGGGATGTGAATTGGCACCACTGAGCGGCAAGGATTTCGAGGCATTGGTACGTCTATGTCTGACTAGTGATACTGTTTTAATTAATGGCAAAGGTTATAAACAAAAATCGGGATTAGCGATGGGGAACAATCTGGCTCCGATGTTGGCTATTATCTATATGAACGAGTTGGATAAACAAATAATAGAATCCTGTAATGGTTCTCTTTTCTTACGACGATTAATCGATGATATATTTATTGCATGGACATCAAATTTAATTACCAGTGATAGCTTATTGTCCATAGCCAACAACTTGAACGATGCCATTAAATTTACAATCGAGCTACCTACGCAAAACAATCTACCATACCTTGATACTTTGGTATCTTTCAATCCTATGACTAATGAATTTAAAACCACATTATATGTGAAACCTATTCATAGCCAATGTATCACTCCATGGGATAGCCACGGCTCTATAGCTTCGAAAAGATCCATACTTATAGGAGAAACAAGGAGAGCCATCTCCCGATCAACGGATTCACTATCAAGAAATAAGTCACTATGTAAAATAAAATCGATCTTTGCAAGTAACGGATACCCAAAGAAATTTATTAACTCAGTCATGCAACAAACATTACACACCCAACCACAACGAGAAAACATCGAGAAGTATGTATATCTCAAGCTGCCCTTTATTAATGAAGAGCTTAAGCGCCGTGCCTTATCTATAGTCCGACGATCTGGACTTGAAAACATTAGATTACAGTTTGTAAATGGACCATCCCTATCAAAAATATTTGCTCCACGTAAAGAGAAGCTAAGTTGCCCCGATAACTGTGATACTTGTAAACTAGCAATTAAAACTAATCTATGCAAGGTTAAGAATGCGATCTACCTTATTAATTGTTTACATTGTCATCTGGTCTATGTGGGAGAAACCGGAAGAACAATACGATCGCGGATAAAGGAACATCTCCGAATGGACAAACAAACAGTTCATGTACACCTTAGAACTCACAATATTGACCCACAAAGCGAGACGACAATAAGTTGGAAAATCCTCCATTCAAATATAAATTACCGGTATGAGCGTGAAGTGATCGAAGCACTTGAGATTCGGAATTATTCGGACAGAATTATGAATGGTTGTGCTGGACGTAATATCAATATCTAGTTTGACTAATTGGAACAATCAGGCTTCTAATATATCCTATGGTACAATCAACAATATAATAACAATCACTCTTTTAACTTAATTTTAAAAATTTTTAACTTAGAACTCAAATTAACATTTTTAACAACATTCTTTAGCTTTTACATTCTCAATCAAGCGATAAATGCATGTATATATAGAGGACGATTTTATTATTCAGATTATTGTACTCACTGATGAAGCCTTAACCGGCGAAACGTCTGAGAAATTTAATAAATAATCTCACAATTTGCCTGAAGAAGTCCCTTTTCTGGTTTAAAATAAACCAACCGACATATATATATATATATATATATATATATATATATATATATATATATATATATATAGTTTATCGCAAGAAAACACACACAGATCAAATTTTAAATTACAATAGCGATCACCCAACACAACACAAAGTCAATTGTATAAAGACTCTATTCAACAGAATTGGCAAGTATTTATACTCTACTTTCTACAAAAATGACTGCCCTTTAGACTTCGTTAATAAAGTACTACAACATAAACAACAAACTAACACGGATCGACTTAACCAAACAAAAACGAGAATTACACTTCCTTACATACACACTAGGCCTACATCATCTATATAACCTTATCAGCTCTACTACGGTATTGAGCACTCTACTCATATATGATTCCAAACTCGATACTTGTCTATATATATATATATATATATATATATATATATATATATATATATATATATATATATATATATATATATATATATATATATATATATACGTATATACGATGTGGACATAACTCCGAGCATGTTATCTCCACATCGCTTTCGTAAAATGTCTCATTCTGGGCATAAACGTAATCGAGTAGCTTTCGAAGGGGATAGAATTCGCAAGAGCAGGTATGATATTGCGCAGAGGGGCTGTATCCGCTGTGACACCGACACGTGGTAATATAACCGTGGTATAATACATATTAAATCCATTAACTTGCGAGATCTACTCGACGCTTCCCACGCCAGAAACTAGCGGCACGTGAAACAGCTAAGTTTATGAACCAATTAGAGAATGTTGCTGGCTACACGAAAGGACATGTATCTGAAAGTATTTACTATTTTGGGTTGCATTGATGTATCAAAAAATGTGCGAGATAGCTATACGCTTAATCTTTAATAGTTAAAAAACTTTTAGTCAAATCTTTTATTATTAAACTGATTAACACCTAACGCACGATAAAATGTCAAGGTTGGATTTCCTTTTGATACATCCTGTATAAAAGATCTTTAGATACCCGCAGGCAAAATCTACCTGCAAAGCACAGAACTGTATCTTAAAGACAACCATTAAGATACCTATTCTTAGTTGCAAGTATAATTCCTGTTCATAAATAGCCACATAAATTAATGGAAACGTAGAAGTATATTAAATACGAAAAGATCTGTTTCTGCTGTATTGTATCTGATGAAAATACTTTCCCTCTCAATTCACTTCAGTTCAAATCAATTAATTCAAATCGATTCAATTTAATTCAATTCAATTCAAAGGTGCTTATTAAGTTCATATAACAATACATATCCTATGTTACAATATGAAAGAAGTTACGACAATAAAACATTCGGTTAAGAAAGGTGTCCATGAATTTCCTTGTGTTTATCTTTGGACTTTTACTTTCTCAAGTTATATTTAATTGGATTATTTTGCTTTCAGCAGATCCGATGGAATGGATGATTGATTAACGCCCATGCTTTTTTTATAAACCTGACGTTCAAAGAATTCGTGCACATGAGCACATGCATATTTTGACACCGATCCAAGAAGCATTGAATATTATGCAATTCGGCTCCATATAGACAGATAAGCCATATATAATTTAGGCAATACAATGCTGTTAAAGCGATACACAGCAAAAAATTAAATATAAGTTACGAAAATCTTTCTAATTTCAAAACAAAAATGTCTTGCAAATAAAATATATTTAATTTTGGGAATTTTTTTCTTATTCAGAAAATTATTTTCTCATTTAATTTTTTTTAATAAAAAAATAAATTTTTGCCGTAGCTATATAGGCTTAAGAGCATTGTATTGCCTAACATTGTTTATGGCTTACCTGACTCAATCTCCGCTTGGTTCATTCCTTCTCTGTTTCAAAATACATTTGTGAGACATTTGTTCGCCTTGGCCAGCTACAATCTTGGACAAAATATTTTGGCAAAACTTATTTAATCTTATTCTTTCTTGTTCTGTTGTCTTATTCTCCGTCATATAGGTAGATGTCTACTTTTTATCAAATCTTATGCACTCTTGTCCCTCCCCCTATATCAATGTTGCTATTTTCGGTTAAATTAATCTTCAGGGAAAAACAGGTGTATTGGCGCAAACAACATTGATATTGGGGGAAGGGAAATAAAATGACATTTTTGCCATATATTTTGTCCAGGATTGTAGTTATTTTCTCAATGCAATTTATATCAGTAATCCTGTTGACCATGGGCGTGCGGACCTAATTTTGTTTGGGGGGAACAGTATTAGTTTGCCTGACCGCTTTGCTTACACAGTACACATACATAACTTTGTTCGAGATTTTATCAGGGCCCTATCAGATTTTTAAGGATTTTTCCGGCGGGGGGAGGGGGAGATTTTTTGAAAAGGGTCCTTTCTGTGAGATAATATATTAGTGGGGGATAGCTATGTGGCCGACATACCACGCATGAATCTCTAGGAGGTATGGGGGCATACTCCCCCAGAAAATGTTTGAAATTTGAAGCTCGAAAATGCAATTTCCTGCATTCTGAGCATCGGCAAATTTGCTCTTAAATTTATGCTAACTATACTTGTATTTGAAATAAAAGAAGGAAAAAACGCACAAATTATAAACAATAATTATTTTTAACAATAATTTATTAAAATGGAAAATGGTCAATGACCCGTACTCAGGAAACAAAAATTTAAACATAAAGACGCTCTCTGAGTTTCAAGCGATATACATACCCTTTTCTAGATATATACAAAACAATAGTTAGTACAATCATACGAATGTATTCCTTCCACTCGTGAGCTCATTTACTATTGTCACATATAGTAAATGTCCAGGCCTTGTGACCCTGGATGGACACTTAAAAGGAAGAAATACACACACATAACCAAAGAATGCTATGCATATAAATCCTACAGTTGTAGGTAATTTAATCTGAAAGTCTAGTTTGACTGAAGATTTTTGATGATATTCATATTTCCTGATATGGTTTGATATGATATGACGACTAGGAAATGAGTTGTGTGAGACATATTGTTATGATAATAATAGTTTTGACAGATGATTTACATGTGGCTTCACTTTGAACGGTCATACGATGTCATGCGCATTTACTCCGTTGTTCTCTAAACGAGCTGATGTTGGAGTGTGATTGTGCTGTGGTGGTTGAATGAATATTTTTTGGTTGTGTGTGTGTATTTCTTCCTTTTAAGTGTCCATCCAGGGTCACAAGGCCTGGACATTTACTATATGTGACAATAGTAAATGAGCTCACGAGTGGAAGGAATACATTCGTATGATTGTACTAACTATTGTTTTGTATATATCTAGAAAAGGGTATGTATATCGCTTGAAACTCAGAGAGCGTGTTTATGTTTAAATAATTTATTAACAAATATTATTAACAATAATTTATCATTACTTATAGCGGTAGAAAAACGTAACAATTTAATCGATTTTGTTAAACAAGGACGAAGGATAAAACCTAAAACTTACTTTTCGTTTATCCATTTGTTATCTTTCGCTGGTTTGTTTGTATAAATTAGTTAGGAAAAAGGGCGTTTTCCTGGGGGGATGTGACTTCGTGGGGGGCACAAGGTGGGAGTCGACTGGGGGAGCATTTTCCCCGCCCCTGCTTGTATGTTAAAAAAGGCCCTGGATTTTGTATGTGCTTTTATAAACAAATCAGTATGATTGTGTAAAGGCTTCTTTAGCAGAAGTTTAACTGAAATGTCTAGAAACACAAAGACAAAAACTAAGGCCACATAAAAAATTACTTGTTTATAAAAGTCCTGATAAAAGTCCCCGACCTCCAATCTTTTAATATTTTTTTTAAATCCATCCGAGTTTAGTGCAAAAACTCTCTATAAAAAAGACCGTTTTACTTGAGATAATGTTGATTTTATTCTTCTGGGAGCTATGTAATACGTTTACACAAAGTTTCCTTCCCAGAATATGCCTGTTCGCAGCTAAAGTGTTCGCGCGTGACCGCCAAACGGTAATTTTCTGTTTTATTAAAAACATGAACTGTATTAAAAAACATGAACGGATTTTGAAAGAATTAAAGTGAGTTTTGACTGTGGTAATATACTGGATTTCCTGCATTTAGCAGAATGTTGTGTTACATTTTACGAAAAAAAAACAAAAAAAACCCCGCCCGCCCGACCTAGAAAAATTAAAATGGGTGGACGCTAAACAAGTAATTTTTTTTATGAGGCCTAAGAACGATGCTGAATGTTTCTGCAATCTTCATAATCTTTGCCATAAGCCATCATCATTCATATACAGGCGTTCTTCATATATGGCAAAGTATATTAAAAGCAATTGTTATTGGCGTTATTATATTTAATCATTCATTCTTATCAACTTTGATGAGAGTTGCCCGAATGACACATGGATTTCTGCTCAATTTCCCGACCGCGCCCTCCCCCCGGTCGATACGCCTATGCTGTTGACGTGTATGCGACCCTTGATACATAAAGAGATAGGCATTGCGGTATGTTCAGAGTGGCGGGAAAGTTTATTCCTTTCCTATTTTATAAAATGTTAGTTCTTTGCGTTTTTCAGAATTACATGACACGTAATTTTTATCTGACCAACTCTGGCTAAGTTAGTTTGAGCAATCCTTTTCATTCCCTATACCGCTATTATAGTGGAATCATATTAATTTACAAATGGTATTTTCACCACCTTTACGTTGTGTGTCATATGCCGAGGGCACATAAATTCCATTATACGCAGCAACTCACATATAAATATTAGTCCATAATATATGACTGAGAATTTTAAAGCTTCAAAAGCGCTTAGATATTGTATTTGTTAGATGTTAGTTTTTAAACCAGAGACCAGATATACTCTAGCTACTTTATCTCCTACTAAGGATTTTGATACATAGTTCCGGGCGTAAGTCCGGGCCAAGGGTACTAATTCCGCCCGGCTATTTACACCCGGCGAAACGAAAGCATTAGCGAAGTCTAAAGTTCATCAAAGATTGCGGGCGTGGTTCACTGTGCAAAATATGGCTGTTTGCCAGGAGTGAAGAGGGCAAAAATATAAAAAGTACATGTAAGAAAGCTTGGAAAATCATTTCACATAACAAATTGTAAAACGTTTTTACAATTTTTAAACGTAAATATTTATACGAATTGATTTAGTATGAGAAATCCTAAAGTATATTTCTTTCAATTGTTTCTTTCAAGTCTTTCCTATTAGTCTAGGATATGTATAGATGTTTGTATGCGTTTCATTTAGCACAGGTAATCTCAACTGTTTTAGGGTAAAATGACCATGCCGGTCAACATGGCATATGTGCCAAAACCTGAATCCGGGGCGAAAGTCCTGAAAATGACCCCGCCCTGAAACGGCAGTGCCGACATAGCTCCAACTTCCAACTAGGGATCCAAAGATAGTGTGAAGTTTCAAATTGAAAAAGATTCTGCAAGAACTATATAGGGTTGCTGACAACCTAGAAAAGCTGATGTCTTACACTACGAAATAAACAATCACCAACGGCATTTCATCTCATTATATATTGCTTTTAATGCGCTCGACACACGAGTAGCGTGACGTTTGAAACAAGCCTAACACATCAGAAACGTGCTTTGTGAAACTGATACAATTTATCTATTTATTGTGATGCTACACGCGACAATTCGAAATTTCAATTGCAGCTGTTGCTAAAAGCATCCGCACAAGGCTACTGCAAACTTATAATTGAAATAGATGCATACGATATGTTATAAATAATAAGCACTACGTCGTTATATCATTGAAAGGAAGCATTTTATCTTCATCCGTTCCGTATTTTTTTCGCATTTCCGTTCTGTGGTCCGCTCCATCCGCTTCCGCATTTTAACCTCATTGTGACATGTTTTACAATAACAAGTCCGCATTGACCTTTGACTTTTCCCAGTGTCACGTTGTCTCTATTTTTAGCTTTTCGCATGTTTTGAATAATGTCACTTTAGATTTCAATAGTTTCACAGTTATAGCAGTTAAAGCAGTTTTGACAAGCTTTGATACAGTTCTGTGTACAGAATACTACAGATTAATTCTCGTAAGATCTGGTAGAGTTAACGTTGCACTGAACACGAATTTGCACCGTTGACAACGGCGTTGTGCTAGACAGTAAACAAAGTCCGCGACAGTACACGTTGGCTACATGTACCCATACCTAATTTTAGTGTGCAGTGATAACCAATTTGTGCAGTGATAAAAGTAAAATGTGCAGTGATAAAATGTAAAATGTGCAGTGATAAAATTTGCTTTGATTAGTTGTTAATTAACACAAGAGAATGATTTAATTGAAATTGAAATGATGACTGCCAAATTATCGAATTAAATAATAGTATATGTTTTTTGTACGAAAATCATGAGATTCAGGCAATTTTTAGTTAATATCTGGCTTTTGGTATGTCCGGAAAAAATTTTTGACCCTTAAAATGGTACACTGACCAAAATTTTTTTGGCGACGGGGGGGGGAGGGGGGGGGGAGGTCGCCAAAAATTTCCGAATATTCGGAAATTTTCTTAGTCATTCGGAAATTTTTGGCATAAAATGTGCAGTGATAAAAAATTCTTAAAATTAGGTATGCATGTACCTCCTTGCTTTTTTCTTCCATTACATAAAGCTTGTTGGTGAGCCAAGCGATTGGCGATAACACGTTGGCGATAACATATTGGCTATCTCCTCGTCTTTCTTATTAAAATAAGGAGCTCTGACTCAACTGATTTCCTTCGTCTCGCAATATTTTCTTCATAAACGCCTGTACGAACGCCCGCTTCTGTTTTAATAATAGTTGTTGATGCTTTATTGATCTGATGCAATTTTTCGCTCTTTGCCTGAGTGTACTATTCTGTGATGTGGCACCTTATACAGTCAAATAACAATGTATAATGAATACACGGTCTAAATAATATCGTCTATCGATGGGCACTTAATTGAACGCCGGTAACCATACTCATCAATTTATATATCATATTATTGCGTAGAATCTCAAAGATTTTCTCAATATTCATGTCTGAAATGTTTATATATTTGAAAAACAAGACTGTCTCGCTTCTTCGTACATACTGTACCCCTGTATAATGAGTATACCGTGAAAATAATATCAGCACTCAATTGAATGCCTAGAATCTCAAAGATTTTCGGCTCAATATTTACGTCTGAAATGTTTATACAGTAGAGTCTTAAATGCACTGTCTAGGCGGTCTAGCTCCTTCCTAGCTCTGTATAATGAATATTCCGCCTAAATATTATCGACACTTATTAATTGAACGGCCGTAATGCATAAGATCAATTTATATATTGCGTAAATTTTCAAAGATTTACTCAATATTCACGTCTGAAATGTTTATACATCTGAAAACAACACTGTCACTCCTTCCACGGTTAATCGATCGTCACGCCATCGTGATCTACGGCTTGATAGCGCATGCGCATTTGCGCTACTAAAGAAAAATCGGGTGTTCCGGGGTAAAGATCCTTTACACAACATGAGAAGCGAATGTTCTAAAATTTACAAAGAAGTACAATAACGAAAGCAATTGCTCGAAATTTTTGTGAACTTGGTAAAAGGATAACAGAAAATGTAAATAAGTTAAACTGAAATTGCCTAAATAACCTTCAAAGTACTGACTAAGCACAATAAATCACTACGAACATAAATCGTACACGCCCCCCGGAAAGTTTACTGTATGACTGACTGACTGACTGACTGACTGACTGACTGCTGTTTCGTTTGAATTTCCCCCACCATCACAATACTGTGAAGTTTCGAAGAAACTTCACACTAAAAACGAAAAGCACAAGCCTTTCTGAAGTACTTATGGTGTTTACGGAAGGGTTGCTTTTAGGGGTGGTTAATGGAAGGAAAATTTATCTAAATATAATATTTTACAAGAAAATGACCATGCACCACCCCAGTTAAATTACTAATTATGCATAAAATAACTAATATGTCTGGCAGAAATTAAATGTTCTTATTTCCTAAAAAAATTTATCATGGGATGAAAAACTATGCTTAATTTAATATAATTATTGTAGTTTTCATAAGGATTGTCATTGTATTCTTTAAATATAATACATTTTATTTCATTCACCCACCACGAAAACACGATTTCAGCCATTTTTTCCGTCTTGTTTGCTATTTATCGCCGAGTCTCGCAAATATCATCCAGTTGTTGTACTTTTACATAATGATAAATGGCTAAAGAAGATTTCAACCAAGTTTCATCAAGTTTTGAAGCAGTGCAGTGTATTTTATCTTCGATATTGTGTCCTTCGATATTTCGTCAAATTGCCGCCATTTTAATGGCTCGCCGCTTCTCTGCCCGATAAATGCCACTTCTTCGTTTTCAAATGTATTTAGATTACAGTATCCAAGAGTACTTCATTGTAGAATAGTCCCAATCGAAAAATTGAAAACATCCGCCCGTAAACCCTCCCGTAAACCATTTAGGTTCAAAATAAAAAAACAAATCATTTGAAAGTCACGCGCAATCTTCGCGAAAACTTCTCGTGGACACATGGCAGGGGGGGTTAATATTTTCACGAAACGTTTGTTCGCCACCACAGCAACCTAACTAGATATATTGTATTTATTGGGGTTTTTTTGTGATTTATGATAAAAACAATAAATATTTTTGTAGTTTTATCATAAATCATAAAAATACAATAAATATAAAGTATATACTTGACATATACTGACAATATACTTAACATGTAGCCTAATAGCGTTTCAGCAGACTTGAACCGCATAACAGGAACGGATCTAGGAGTGATCAGAGCGATCACGCAACTAAGGTAAAAATTGGCTAGAAAATTGTTAATTAGAATAGTAGTCCATTTATCAAACTTTGCGCAGTGTATTGTATTGAAAGTTTATCACTCCAGTTCTGAAATATTATCTAGTAGCAAGGCCTTCGAACGTCAACGACCTCTGAGAAATGGCCTATTTAAGTTTTACAGTTTAATTAAGGTTTGCAAAGGACAACCTTTTTTGAATTAGCTGTATAACTCTAAATCTTAGACCTCAAATCTTAAACTTCAAGCGCAAAAGGTGGCATGGCAACGCTCTCCATCGTAAATCTTGGATGTATGCACAAGGATTATGACACAGTAATTAATGTAAATAAGTCCATAGTAAAAAGTCCTTTTGGGCTGAAAGTATTTAATTTGTAAGCCCAAAACTCTTCTCACCCAGATGGTTAATTAATTTCCGTTTCATGAATTATCTTTACAATAACATCTTCCAACCCATTATGCCCATCCGCGAGAAAATGTGATTACAAGTGCTCCCCCGCAACCCCCTGTAGGCCATTTCCATATCTTACATTATACTGTTTTCATGGTTGTGAGAAAAGTTCTTTGGGATTATATATTAAATACTTTTATAATTAAATACTTGTGGACTATATATGTAGCTTTGTGGGTTTTGTATCTTTTTTATTCTTGACAAAGGAGGCTTCCCTCCAAAACTTAGAAAATTAAAATAAAATGTTTTTTATAATCAAATTATAAACGTGGCTTGGGGAGGAAAGGTTTCTTGTTCTGTTTTTTTGTACAGAAACCTTTGACAGTTTCAAGAATAAACACACACAAAAAAAACGAGTACGGAGGAGTTTGCGCGTCACATGTTGCCGGAAATACGTTAGAATATAAGTACCGCGAAGGACCTGCATGTCAAAATCAATGTAAATCATACCGATGTCAGCCAATGAAATTAAATAATCCCCCATGGTCTTAATCCAAGTGTATAAAAAACAAATCCTTCCTGGAACAGATCTATTCTGAAGCTGAACAGAATAAAGTCGAAATAATAAAGAAAATAGCAAAGTAAAGTCTCAATTGGGAAGAACAAGAAAATTTAATCAAGTTGACCAAAGCGGATAATATTGATGATATCTGAAGGTAATTTGAGTTCTGATCTTATTTTATTTGGAAAATGAAATGAAAAACAATTGGCAAATGTATATTATTTATTTGTGCTGTGTCGGCCCTTCTAAATTTAATTTTGAACACAACAAAAGTTGGAAGACTAACCAAGAATTTGAATTTTATCATTCATATACGACAATGACAAAGTGATAAATAAAATGTACGTACAATTTTAAGATGACGATTATCTATTTTATATAATTGTATACACTAATATAATATAATATATCATATTATAATATAATATATAGGGCTAATTATTTGAGGTTATTATTCTTCGTTGTAAAGCCTGGATATGTACATTGTATATGATCTTTTCTTTATACCGTCTTTTCATCAGGTATACTGTATGCCGTGACTTGACATGACTACAGCATGCTATTGTATAATCTCGCTCTCCATCAAAAGTCAAATTGTTGCCTCTTCAATTGCATGAGCCTGACTATGATTAAGGATTTGCTCATCATGTGGCACGAGGATCGTGATGGGGTAAAATAGGAACAGGAATTTATATGAAGAATTTATTTGAAAATGAAATTTGGGAATGACCTGGGATTTGCAATAGTAATTTTAAATTGGTGATTGGAATGGGATTTGGCCGTGGCAAGAGACTCAGCTTTATATATGAATATTAAGGAAATTAAAAGTGAACAAACCAATTTTTGACTTTCAGTTTTGAGGATCTGGTCAGTCTGGGTCGTTCTAGTGTATACATATATAACTAACATTTTAGACCAGTCTGAGAAACCGCAAGCGTCTATTTGAGACAGTTTAGTTGCCCAATGTAGAATCGGGAATTTAGAACAATACTTTAAAATTTAACTGCTTGCACAATCACCTTATAATGTTTATGAGAAACTTACTATAGACATTGTTTAGCGATATCATGGTGTACTTGGGTTTATAAGCTGTAAATCTTAAGGTGTAAAATTGTCCTTCAAATAAAGAGGAACAACTATTTTCCCACATCATTTAAAAAGGGGGTAAAAATTACCCCCTAAATTAAGAGTAATAAGGTATCCTTTATTAATTAAAGAGAGCAGATTTTTATAAACGTTCGTCAGATATAAGGAATATTTTTTGACAATTGTTCCTGTGAAAATTTGCCCTTTGGTGACAAATGTGCTCCAATTTTTTAGTAAAGCTAAAGAAAATTTTAAACAAAAATGACATCTCTTAAATGTAGTGCTGCATGATTGTCGCTCTGGTTCCAACGTGCTCAGTTTGTTTTCTTTTAAGCAGTTTATCGCTGAGAACAGATGGCGGTTGGGAAGAAAGGCCCCAATTAACCTTCGAGTGGTGTTAAAGTGTTTTCTGAATTTTGGGGTATAGCCGTAGTTTTCGAAGATACACATGCATGTTCACACATCTCATATAATTATTATGTACATAGCGGTTTTTGTAACAGATCCCAGTCATTAATAATTTGAGCACGGACAATTTAAAACATAAATTATATGTATACTGCTAAATTGTTGACGTCAGTAGCTAACAAAAAATCGTAAATCTAAATTGTAGTTTTTACCGACTTACATTACATCTTCGTTAATTTTAGTCCGTGAGAAGAATTCGAATGGCTGCCAAAATCGGCGATGTAGATGAATTTACCGAATACAGGTGAGTGAAAATAGCATCGAAAGCTCGCAGAATGGTCCGTATGCATGTTGGGTGCCATTGTACGTAGCAAAGAACACAATTCGCGAGCTTGAGTGTATGATTCAATTACTTAAAAAGTAAGAGCCAACTTCAAATAACAATAACTAGTGGTATCGTCCGAAAATACAACATGATTAGCACGCAACAATTGATATGCATGCATGGTGCTGTAAACTGAGGACTCAAGTTCGAGTTCAAAATATTTTCAAGGAAGATATTGTCAGTTGTTAAAGTTTTTTTAGCTCAGACGAATTAAAAACAACTTTAAGATATTTAAAGGATATGTACATTGTGCTTATAGTTTTAACTTATTATTATTTTTGTGCGGTTATAGAAATGATTATTGCGTGCAATTTCCCTTCACCAAACAAGCTGCATATTATTATACTATGTGTAAGACCACAGAAAGATTTAAAACGCCCTGCAAGACCAACAGCATGTAGGCTACGTACTCGACAAAATTTAAGACAACATCGCAGGGCAGTTGTTTTAGATTTTTGCTGGCTGGTTGTCTCAGCAAAATAATATAAAATTAATTTAAAGTTATTTCAAGAACGTGTGAGTAAGCACAATACACAATTGATTTAAGCTGTATTTTGAATTCATTTCGTTTAATCTTTAACAGCATATAACAATTTTACAATCATTTAATACAACAATACGTTTTAAAATTGTTAGCGGCTATATATACCGCTAAAAGTTGATTTGTAAAAACAGCTTACATGCACGTGCACTTCTTTCGCAATAACTTTTTATGTTAGTCTTTTTTGGCACATGCATAACTTTGAATCAATAACTTAACCATGTATTTGTGCTCACTAAGAACACGTATTGTGGTCACTCGTGGTCCATGCATTTAGTAGAACAGAGCTAATTTCGCCAGTTGTTAGCTCAAGATTAAGCAAATGGTATTTTTAACGTTATAAACATCTCATGACTAACGTCATAAATTACGGGGTATTTTAATAAAATATTAAACAACGGTAACTCCGAAAATAAACATTTTAATCCGCGTTCAAATGAACGCCATAAACATCTCATGACTAACGTCATAAATTACGGGACCACTGAGTATTTTAATAAAATATTAATTCATCTGTAACTCCGAAAATAAACATTTTAATCCGCGTTCAAATGAACGCCATAAACATCTCATGACTAACGTCATAAATTATGGGAACCACTGAGTATTTTAAAATTCGATCCGCCAATATAAATTTCCGTCACATGACGGCGGAGGCCTGAGCCATGCTATATATTCCGAAATATTCGTATAATTTTATTATTTCTCGCTCAATTTAGAGCGAATTTCTTACCTTGAAACGGTCGCTGTGGTGAAATTTATGTACCAATTTTGCTGTTGCGTTATCCGTGTTTAACTGCCCGTATCTTTGCTTCTTTTCAACGTACAATAAAGAAAAATATACCAAAAGAATCGCCATCTTGCATTCTATAGCTCGGAGCAGTCTCGGAAAATTGCGTAATAATCTATCCCTATTACGGCGATTCTCGTGGTCGGAAAGTGTTCGGCCAACTTCGGACGTCAAATTCTTGGTAAACATTACAGTTTCCTGGTAAAAGATTGCAGAAATCACTTCCGGAATGTTTTTTACCCTAGATGCGGATTTTGATTGGCTTAGGCAAAAAAACAAACCTCTTATGGCAATTTTCCTGATTTAAAAATATCGCACACGAGCGTTGTTATGTATTGTCAGGGGCCGACCATTTAAGAGCCGCCATCTGTACATATCGAATGGAGGTATGCAAAATGAAAAAATTCAAAATCTTCAAACTTTGTCAGAATATAGGTCTAGGTAAACTATTACTAAAAATATAACTTTAGGTTCGATCAGATTTTTATTTTAGGCAAGCGGCTATTTTTTTATTTTCACGTCTCTCAGACTAGTTTTACAGGACATACCACAGGTCATTTACAAATCGCTCAAAAATTGAAATAAAGATTTATCACAAACATCTATTAACCATTTCAAAGAGGAACTATTTCTATACAATTTCCTTGTTCGTTTATAAAATTTGGGTTTAAGATTCAATTTTTCAAATGTAAATATCGCGGCGAGTATTTACCCCCCTTTAAAACAAAACCCACCATTGTAATCCTCACAAAATAACCTTTCGAACGGGGGGTCAAGTGCTGTCGAACATTATACAAACCGAAACAATCATATATTTATACTCACCGCTTCGCCAAACATTCAAACGATAAAAAGAGAAAAAGTTGAATATCTTCTAAACTTTTCGTCATTTTCTGAAAGGCTATATTTGTAAAATACTCTTTGTATTCAAGCGCTTTAGTGTAAGAAAGTTTCGTATGAATACGACGAGTAGAAATATTTATTTTGAATTTTTAAAGTATCGGGTTTTACTCGCACGCGCTTGTATTACGTAATACTTGGCCAATAAGGAGCTCCCTTTAGCCGGAATGACGTCAAACTCACGCGTATGGGTGCACTTTGACCTGAAGAACCATTTCTGGCATTTTCAGAGTCAAAATTTCAATTTCAATTTTTCAATTTTTTTTTTCAATTTTTCAGAGAGTTTTTTTTTCGCGATACAAGCATAGCATTGTTTTGACGAGTTTTCGTCGTATTTCCGGTTGGGATTATCGCAAATTCGGAGCAGAAATGTAAAATTCGGCACTAAAAGTCACCCTTTAAGGATATAAGCTTGGAAATAACGTTATACATGGCATTTTAAATGATTAGTTCGTCAAGAATATCACAATGAGCATACGTTTCAAGGGGCCGAAGTTATATTCGGCGAAAGGTATGTTTATGTTTTTATAATTTGTTGGTAAAATGCGTGATTTGATCGTAACTGATCGACTTCTCGCTTTACTTTTAAAGCTCATAAATCGCTATAATGTTGCCAATGACTAAAACTATTGCTACGAGTGAGGAGATCTAGTCACACTGAATCGAATGGTGGTATTTTTGTCCTCATAGCATTCAATGAACCGAAGATATTAAATCGGCAAAGGGCATTGCTTACAAGCATTGCGATAATAGGCTCATGTCGATAAAGAGTTAAAGTAAATATTTTAGCGATTTTTTATTTTTTGCTTAATTTACCGAATTTTTCGAGACCGATAAATGGCTAAATTTAGAGTGGAAAATCGTTCATTGGACCTCCGCTTTGACGTTTAAGGCCATATCCATGCGAAAGAGCAACGTTTCTTCTTCAATTTAGTAGAAAAATATTTTTGGGCTATTGAAACTACGGTTTTTAAAAACGCCAAACGCAGGTGGCCTCGAAGCTAAAAATAGCTTTTCAAGTTACATTATCTAAATGCAATTAATCTACGACAACCGGAAGTAAAAATATTTAATCCACTTCCCGTGAAAATTATTTGCTTTAACTGAGGTCTAACTATATTCAATAACATTGTGTAGTGATTCTTGATAATTATGCGCGAAATTAATCTTAAAGATGCTGTAAACTCCGTAATGTAAACAAACGCTTTGAGCCTTTGTTTCATCCTCGGTCCCAGGGCCTCACGGCTGACACTGCGTTGCCGGAGGCCCTGGCGAAAACCAAAACCGGAACTTCAAAAATCTTGTAGTTTGCCGAAAGTAAACGTAATAAAATGCTGACTCTGCATCTTTTTTTGCAAGGAGTGAACTTTGAGAATTTCTCGAAAGAAATAATGTTTTACATGCAAGATAAACATTAATTTGATCTGGATTTCACCATTAAATGTTTTAATGATTGACCAAATCAGTAAACTAAAGGATCATGTTCAAGTTGATGAACATGAGCTGTTCAAGTTGATGAATCGAAGGATACAATGTGTAGTTTGGGAGAGTGTCATTGTATACGGACAGCAATCAATTGGAGAACATGAAAGTTTTTGAATTTTTATTATATTAAAATCGACGAAATATACAGACAATTTAAAAGCGATTGTTGTGGACGAAGCCCAATCTTGTTACTGAATGGTGAGTGAGTGATACTGATATATTTGGTTGTTTCTCAATATTCTTTCTTTGCTATATTAATGGTTATCTGCAAGACTGTACACATACAGACAACATATATTCTGTTTAATACGTCTGGTCTAAACGCTGCATTTTACATGTGCCAAGTCTAGAAAAGTTTGTTCAACCTTTTAAGTGCTACCAAATTATTTTACTCAGCTTAACATGCCAGATGATTGAGTGTACAGGTCAATGTGAGAGTGCTACTGCTCAATGGGTTAATCAGATTATCTATTGTACTTTACTATCTTACTGTCTAATGTCAGACAATTTTGCTCATCAAGGGGAGAGTGGGTATAACTGCAAAGTAATTACTTTGCCACTTTGGACAAATGTATAAGTTACATATGTTTACTATTTACCGGTATGTACATAAATTCAACATTTAAATCAAAATGTCAAACTTTATTATTTGAGTCAAACTTTATTATTTGAGTCAAACCATATAAATTCACATTAGATTTGGCACATGTAAAATGCGGCATTTAGACAGAGACAATGAGCATAAAAACCTGAAATATTATGTGCATCCCACCCACCCACCCTCGCCCCTCCCCCCACCTTAATCTTGGTATCCCCAAATAACGATTGTTTGTAGGATATACAACTACCTGTAAGGTATCGTATGACTGCATACTACAAGCTAGTATCCGATTCAGTTTAATACTTATATATGACTTGAAATATGTATTTTCTTGCCAGTCATTTTCAATCATAAAATTATCCATGTTGCTATTAAATTATGATTAGCCTAAAATTTTTGGCTAAAGATTGTTTTAATTTATAAACATTGTACTACTACTTTAGGAAGGGTTTCAGGCCTTGCTATGAAAGGATTGGTATGTCGGGAAGTTTGTTTCTTCATCAACTCAGAGAAAGAAGTTGCATCAACTCAGAGAAAGAAATTTCATCAACTCAGAGAAAGAAAGAAATTACATGAACAAAATAAACAATTTTGTGTCATTGATATAAATAATAATTTATTCTTACAATTTCCTCTATGAAAATTGGGTGTGTTAATAAAGATACTGTAAAAAATAAATAACAGCTTTATGGTGCATCCATGCTGTGCTTTAATATTGCAGTGGTGTAGGAAATGGAGGTGTGTGGGTACCAGTGTGCTTGTGTGTGGAGGCCGGATGCTCCAGGAGTTCCTCGACAAGGAATATCAAGTCCCCGACAAGGAATATCAGGTTCCCCGACAAGGAATATCAGGTTCCCAACAGGGGGTTATAATCTTTCAAACAGTAAAATTATTGTTCGGTATGTTCAACTTATGCTCACACATGAAAATGTTGAATTTTTTGGCTCTCATGAAATGGTGCAGAATTTATTGTCTGTAACAGTGCATTTACCAGCACTACAAAACAAGGTCATTACAAAACATAATTTTTCCCAGTACATTCCACTTCCCTGATTGGGGAGGGGCTAGAATTTCCACATAGGGGAGCTACAGCCCCCCTCCCCCATACCTGATCCTTGCACTGCCTCTGCCTTGCTCAATTTCTCTTCAAAAGTTTACAAATTATAAATTTGGTGCTGTTGACATGAAGTGCTTCTCAATTTCAAATTTCAAAACTTTCCTCCTGTGCCTATGGTGACTAATTAAACCTTGAAATCTAGCACTATAATTTATAAAAATTATGTCAACTGCATGTAAGAGATTCAGAAGTTAGTTTCCCAGATGTTGACACATTACTTAATACTGAATGTATGTATACAGCATAAAATTGGGAGGCTCATCACCAGTGTAGCAAAGTTGCAGTATTACTATTAACAATATAATTTGTCAACTGTAAAAACATTGATAGCCTATAAATTAAGCTATATATTGCATGAAATTTAAGGCAAAACAAGGTGGAAGAACTAACATTTCCAGCTATTATATTAATCACTTTGTCATTATTAAATAGTATTAAAATACAATATTTCATTATTAAATACATTTGATATAAAATACAATATTTTTACATAAATTAAGAGCCTTTGATGAAATTGATATAAAATCAACAAAGTATGTTTATTAAATATAGTATATTATAAAATAATACTATATTATATAATATTATACCTCACAATGAGCTTGTCCAATCAGAGAACTAAATTTGTACCACATGACCATGGTATTTTTCAGCGAATACTATGACCTAGGCAATTTGAACCCTGGGTGTTTTACCCGGGGCCATGGTATTCGACTTCGAATACCACGCTTGAGCGGGAAATTCGACTTTTTTAAATGTAAAGTTATCAAAAGTTGTGTTTTGAAATTAAAAGTTAATTGAATGGCATTTGTTTTCTACTTATTTTTGAAAGGTTCGGTATAATATACCATTTATAGATCTTTCACTCGGGGTATTCCACAAAAAATTACCCTGCGGGATGAAATATTCCTCGGGCTTCGCCCTCGGAATATTTCATCCCTCAGGGTAACTTTTTTTTTTGGAATACCCCTCGTTTCAGGTCTACATGTATAACTAATATATATATATATATATATATATATATATATATATATATATATATATATATATATATATATATATATATATATATATATATATATATATATATATATATATATATATATATATATATATATATATATATATATATAATTAACAGTACAGTCTTTCTCGCATAGCCTTTCGCCTGTCTTTGTTTATACTCTGTATATAATTAAATCTCGTATATAAAACTATAAAATGTCCCTTCGGCTTCGGCGATTTCAATCTTTAAATAATCCAATGTCCAATTTTGTGCAGCTTTTTAATACATTGTGACACAACATCCAACATTTTTTATATTAA